CCTACCAACATTTATTGTAGTATATTATATTTATATATAGGTACATAAGACTTTCGGTAAACGTTTTTTTTTTTTTTTGTAATTCGATCTAGAAAATGCGCGTGAGCTTATATAATATTGAAAACGCATACGAGTTCCTAAAGTTTTCTATGATTTTTTCATTTTTATAATTTTATCAATAAACGGAAATTAACGTCGACATTTCATTTCTTGGTCACAAATAGGTTCATAATAAAATACAAATAAATAATAAAACACTAAATAATTTTCAAGTCAACATTTTGATTGTTCTTCAATTGTTGGAGTGCTGCTGCACCCTAAGGTCAGTACTACTTGGCATTTGTAGTTAAAAATTGTTACCTGTAAAATACCAACAAATTTTCAAGTCAAAATGTTGAACTTAGAGTGCCAGTGTAACTTAATTGTCATCTATAGTGTTTTATCATACTCCATAACATAAACTAATATACAGATTCTTATTATGTCGAACGTAGATAATAAGTCAAATTGTTTAAAATCTCAAACTCAATTGGAATCCCTTTGAAATAATTACCATTACAATAAGACTCGATATCTTGAATTTTTTTAAACCTCGAACTTTTATCTATTTCCCTTGAGTTTTTACGTAACGAGAGCTTATTGTAATATCTTTCATCTGGCGTCTGCGATTCAGACAGTTTCTTCGGGTCTTAGATTTGACCACACTCTTATTTATACATTTTCTTATGATTAAAAATGTCACAAAATACTTAAGTGTTGGTCATAATAATAGGTGTGGAAGTATGTATACGTAATAATAGAACCTAGTTGAAACCAAAACGGATTTATAACCTGTAATATATTTAATTATTTTCAAAATCTGACGAAAGATTTAGGGAATATACTAGGTATTATAATATCACATTGCTATGACCTATTGATTCAATACCTACAGTATTATTGAATCTAACTATTCAGTTCATTGCTATTAGACAGAATGAATAATAATACTTTGAATAGTAAATATTCGCGTGTAATATTTTAGTCGTATAACTCGAATCACCTTGTACAGGTTTATTTACTACAAAATCTTCTCGACGTGTTTAAGCCCGTTCCCAACTCACTAAAACCTTGGCTCATTTGTCATTTGATTCACCCCCGGTTCCTAATAATTATCATCGCTATTATAACAATATAATTTCGTAACAATACACGGAGGAGGTATATACTGCGTCATGTTCGTAAATAATGACACAGCGTTCTGTTATAAAGGGAACTTCTCGAATAAACACAACTTTGAAAATAAATGGCTATTATTATTATTATTATTATTATTGCATTTTACATTTGCTCAACAACCGTTTTCCTAATTTAAAGGTATTAAAAAAAGTTACGTATTGCTCGAACAAATTAGATGTAATATCCAATTTTAAGACGTGTAAGCTGGTCTATATGAATTAATAGATAAATATATATATAAGTTGTATTATTGTTATTAATTAAGCCACAGCTACATAGGTCTTAGGGTGGTTATTTTTTGGAGGCTTTTACCTGTGGCTCAGAGTATGGTTGGTTCGGAACACATGTGTATGTGGTATGATTTATCACAATAAGAACACGAGTGGCACTGGCTGATGCTTGACTTCACCACGCCTGTTCACTTAAAATATTCCAATATTATGAGTACATTTTAATAAAATATATTAATTGATGTTCAGCCCTCATGTTTAATAAATATCGATAAGGGTTTCATTGCAATAATATATATTATAGCATTTACAAATTATTTCTAAGTTTATTTTATTATTCTTTTTGTTTGTGCTTCGTAAATCAATTTTTTTACGAATTTGCTTTATTCTCTTTTTATCGCGTTATTGTTTAATAATTAAAATGCAAGATGTTAGTCAAAACACTAACAACATACTACAAACCACCGGCTAACATAATTCGAATGATATGTCGCTCACAAAAGACCCGATACAATCAAACTGTTCGGTATTCATTCGAAACGTGTCCAATTTATTGTCACGAACCACAAGTCTTTTAACGGAAGATTTGAATAAGTTTTAAACAGTAGTTGTTGAGTTTAGGTACTGACAAATATTTTGCATTGTTTTGAGTAAATGCTGTTTAATCTTTTTTTTACGTCTTCAATATTTTTTTTTTTTTGTATTAAACTTAATGACTATTGAGCCAATTTTGTTTCATCTGCTGCTTATCACCTTACTTATTTAACTTACCATCGTCCAAACTGTTGAATAATTGTGTCCAACAAGTTTACTGGAGCGATGATTCCTACCCTCGGTACTATTATTAGTCCGAGCTTGGTCAGTAATAGTTGCAGTAAGGACATTCCATAATTGTAATGGGAATAAAAGTGGATTATTCCGTAAAGCTTTTTTTTTTGTTGGTTTTTTTCCGTGATTTATTTTTCTTTTGTTTCATCAGCTATGTTGTGCGGAGAGCTCTTTCGCCGCTAAAGTCTGTGTATATGTTACGGGCAATGTGTACATTACTCCGTCAATGTGGTCCTGTCCGGGCAATGTAAACCACATTTTTTTTTTCACCAACTAATATTATTTTTTTATTATTACTATAAATTATAATTATTAAATATGTATAGTCATATTTTTAAAAACTATCATTATTAATTTTATTCATGTACCATAATATTACGAATATTTTGATGGAATAACAAAAAAAATTAATAAGTATCATCATTTTATTTTTATAATAAATTATAATTTTACTGTTTTGATTTGAACAAGATTTAGAAGCATGGCACTTGAAATTACATAATCTGTCTGCTTTTCTACACTTGGTATTTAAATAGGCAGTACGATAAGTAACAAAAATAAGTAATGTACACATTGCCCGGCATTCCACATTACCCGTAACATATACATGAGTCATTATCTAAGGTCATTGCCTATGCCTCATGTACATTGTATTCCTACACAAACTGCACACGCCGGATGTAACTCTTAACATATTTAACGTTGAGCTATCGCTAAAAAAACACTAAATTCTCGCATGACCTACTTTAACTATTATTTATACTTGTGTTAATATTATATTAAAATGTTATGATGGAGTATTATAATAATTATTATATTGATATACATAATATATTAAATTCACAGTATATAATTATATAAAATATAAATATGCTTAGAATGTATAATTATGGAATATCAGGAGTCGATACGCACTGAAGTGTACGACACAATATCCGAACTATTTCACTAATGCTATATCTTTCACTTCACAAAGAACGAATTATTAAATAAAAAACAATTCGACAATTAATTAATGTAAAGAATGATAATTAATTTTCATTAGTATAATAATAATTATAATTAAGTTATAAGCTACTTTTATTTTATTACAATAAAAAAGTGAAACCAATATCCGTTGCTTCGGGAGCACGTATCGATATTAAATATACTTAGGTATGTGATATCACATTACAATACGATATTACACTGTCATGGAGGTAGATATCGTACCATTTTTATGTATACAAATATACTTATTCTCAATAAAAGATGGTAATAAGACTGAATAGTAGAGCAAAATATAAATACACGTATTTATTAGGTACTATTATGTAATAGTCTTGCTTCGTCGAAATTAAATTGTTTTTAATGACAATATTAACAATTATTGGTCGTTAAACCACAGACTAGCGTTGTGTTTATAAGCTAGTAATCGCAGTATCGCCACTGCAGTCGACCTGTGAGGTTTAGGTTTCACTTGCGATTTATGTTTATTACGTACAAGTTCTTCATAATATATACATTTTAATTAAATTAGTTGTGTAATTTTTTCACAATGAAACGGTGTTTAGAAGAGCATGAATCCACCATGAACGAACAAAATGAAGGTGCTTCGTGTTCAAAAAGTAAATCCTGTCGTAAGTCTTATTAAGAATATAAACTTTTGGTTTCATAAGCAAAAATGTAAACAATCAACATAAGATATAATATGCTCCCCTCAACGTATTATTGTATGCTATAAAATATTTTGAACATCGATGAAAGCGACTAAACTTCAACGTCACTTAGAAACTAAACATAATAGTGTAAATCATAGAAAAAATTACAGAAAATACCAATGGTGTTGAAGTATATTTAAAATCTGTGTGGTTATATACAAAACGTGTTGTTGCCATTTCTAGTTTTTTTTTTGGGAAGACTCTTATGTTTTTACTTGAATAATGCACAGAAACAAAATGAATATGTACCTAAGTACTTTAAAAATTTTAAAAAATCGAACATTTTCATTTTTTAATTCAAATCCATCTAATTTAAGATTACATTTTAAACAATTTAATAAAGTCTTTTGTAACAAAAGTCAGTATAGGACATTTTAACATGAAAAATTCGTACCGAAAATGATCTACTTCAGTGATATTTTTTTCCAAAATGAATTACGAGTACAACACAATTTCAAAAACAATAAAATAAATATTTTTAAATCAGTTATACAAATTGTTGGCATTATTTTTAGTGATACTAAAATCAGTAAAATCTCTATAGTTGATAACATGTTTATAATTTTAAGAAGACAATTTTGTCTGGTTTCATAAAATACTTTGTTTTAAATAATTATTATTATGAATAATACATTTAATCGTAGGTATATTGTAGATGTATGGCAATAACACGTTTTAGAAAAAAAAAAAGCAATGACATGTTTTAAATCATAAATTTGATTGTCCTATACCTATAGCATGAAATAAATACGTTTTGGCTTAATTCGGCAAATAGTACCTAAGTTTTTGACAAATCCATTAATTTTTTTTAATTTCGCACTTTTTTTTTTAATATGAAGATATTATTATGTATAACTTAATTTTGAAAATATGGCATTACCATGTTTTGTTTTGTAACCAAACCACTTCAAAAATGAATTAATAAAATAATTTTATAGTTACAAGCAATGCTGATGAATCTGAAACTCAAATGGACTTAATTAATAAAACTACAAATTCCGATGATGATAATGATATCTTAAATGAGTAAGATTATTGACTATACATTTATACATTGTAAATACAAATCTCCAATATTATAAATTGTATTATTTGTGAAGGAAGCGAAAAAATTATATAAGCTGGGATGATCTTTTTATGGCCATTTCATTTTTGTCAGCGAAACGAAGTAAGCATCGTAATACTAAAGTTGGTGCTTGTATTGTTGACTTGGACAAAAAAATCGTAGGCATAGGATATAACGGAATGCCTACTAGAAGTGACAATTGTAACTTTAAATATGATAAATTTATATGTTTTTATGGCAAGTAATAATGTTAAAAACTACCTTTTCCTGTCAAGCTGATAAAATAATATATTTGGTTCTCATTTTAATTTTCAGAATGTCACGCTGAAATGAATGCCATATTGAATAAAAACTCTATAAATTTACAAAACTGTACCATATATGTATCTGTTTATCCGTGTAGTGAATGCACGAAAATTATCATTCAATCCGGTATCAAGGAAGTAGTGCATTTCCCAAAATCAAACGCATGTACAGCAGCCGCTAAGAAGATGTTTGGTGCGTCGGGTTTAATAATCAGAGAACACAAACCCAATCAGAATATTATACTTGATTCAATAACAGACCAATCAGATGGGAGTGATTTAAGCTGGGAAAATTTTTTTATGGCTACAGCATTGTTGATGTCAAAACGTAGTAAAGATCCCGTATCACAAGTTGGAGCTTGTATTGTTGACTCGGACAACTTAATTGTAAGCACAGGATATAATGGAATGCCTACTGGATGTAACGATGATGACTTTCCATGGGGTAAAGACAGTGTGTCGGATTTAAAAAACAAATTTGTTTATGGTAATTAATTATGTCTAAAACTATACGTGTCATTCTGATCAAATAATACATTTGATTCTCATTTATATTTTCAGTATGCCACGCTGAAATGAATGCTATATTTTATAAAAGATCTATAAATGTAAAAGATTACACCATATATGTAACGCGTTTTCCATGCATTGAATGTGCAAAAATAATTATTCAATCGGGTATCAAAAACGTAGTTTATTTGTGGGATCCGAAATTAGGTAAAAAGAAAAATAAGTCCATCAGAAGTATCTTTTCTGCATCGGGAGTAGAAAACAGACCACACAACCAAAACCGTAAAAAGCTGGATATCATACTTGATTTTTCAACAACTGACTAATACTCCATACATTTCATATTATAAACAATTGTATTTAGTATAGGTATATTTGACTACATTAAAATATGATTTTTCAAATATGGAAGCGCAAGAAAATAAAATAATTTACTAGAAAAATTTAAATAATATATTTCAGAAAAAAATTTTAAATTAAAATGTAAACAGCCATTGTTGTTGAAGCAGATTGATCAATAATAATAAAAAACATATGATTAATTTGTTAATAACCAATAATTTTTAAAAGTGAAAATTACCTTGGGAAATTGTTAGTCACTTATTATTTTCTTGTTTATCATTATAAAATATACATACATATAATAAAACCAAAAAACGTGTGATTTAATTTTGTATATTTAATTTTATACATAGCTCTAATAAACCTCGTTTCATCGGCAGTACTATTGGTTTGGATGATTACACATAGGTATCTCATTGCTGTGAGTATCTAGTTGTACAAATGGTCTTAGTACATTGGTTAAAGATTACTAGGCTCCCCGGTTCATTCCTGATATTTTTGTGTACCTAGCTACATCAAAAAGAGTAATGTTACATGCCAAGTTTCAGAGTATATTGGGTCATGAACAAATTGATTTGATTTGAGCGTACCTCATTGATCGTTCGAAATTAATACAACCAATAATAATGAATGTTTTATGATGACATTTGGTAATTTGATGCCTATTAATAGATAATATTAAATAAGGTAATAGTGCACATAAAACAATAGTATATTGTGTAGGTATATCATTATAATATTATTTATACTCAATTTCGATATACATAACGCCAGTCGAAATCACTGGTCAGTGGTCAGGTCAGTCAGGAAATCGACTTCAAAAATGTTATAGATGAAGGACATCTAGATAAAAATGTTGTATTTAAAATTATAAAATAGCTAAAATACCGTTGTTGTTGACGATTTGAATTTTTCCAAACGCAATGACGAAAACGACAAATATCTGTTTTATCACCGTTTACAATGATAATATATATTATGACATATACAATATTAGCTTAGTTCTAATACCTAACGTAGTATACAAGAGAAGGTACAAGACTATATTAGAAATAAGAATAGATTTTTTAAATACTTCCCAATAATATATTATACATTAAATTTATAAGATATAAGTATATATAATCCTGATACAGGTACTCTCCTTTATATTTCTTTTAGTACCCTACCACAACACTAGAAATCATTAATTCCTATATAAATGTACTCGCCATAATCTACCTCCAGACTTCCATGGCTATGAACTCAACGATCTTTTGCACAAAATGTTACATCGGCTAACTTCAGCTTTGTCTCGATCACATTCCACCACCATATTTATTATAACTATTTATAGTTTTGAGTTTTAAATTTATATTTTCTATGTCCACAATACTATTGAAATCAATTTGTATCTGAGTTAATGCAAATCATGGCATCAATAAAATAAAATAAATAAATACAAACACTAAATGGTTTTTTAAAAATATGTCATCAACGCGATACATGTTGAATCATTACATATATTATGTGAAAGAGTTATGTATATTGAAAATTGTTATAAGATATAATGTGAGATTACATTGTATAGCATCCAGAACGTTATCAAAAAAAAAATGTACAATGTACATGTTTTGAGAATTGTAAAATGTATCTATCAATTATATAAGTTATCATTATATTACACTATGTTATTATTTTTGTTTGGTAGTTGGGTTGGTGGTGGTATAAAAAAAGCATTTCAAATGCGAATCTACAGAGTTTATTTGAATTTCGATTCATTTAAGATCCCACAAATTATGAACGGTCTAAAGTTTTTAAGTAGTTTAATAAAATAAATTCTGTGTGCAACCTTCAAAACAAAGACTACATAATCATTTTCTTGTATTTAGTTCTAGTCACTCCTCGACCCTCGTTGATTCCATAAATATGCAATTCCCGATAAAATTCATGATTATTGGCAAACAAAAAAATTAAAAACATAAATCAACTGTTCTGTGTACTTACATAAATTATTATTATGAATTTAAGAAATACTAAGGTCAAAAGTTACCTGCGCCGGTAGTATTAAAATGCAAATAAAACATGGACCCATAAATCTGAGAGTCATACGAAAGAGCTGTAGCTAGTGACTTCCTTTTCCTGTCAAATGTAATAATATTGAAATGTAAGAAACGCACGATCGATTCCATAAATTTCCAGACAAAATACATCTTTCAAAACTCAAGGTGATTTCATAACGAGTTTTTTTCCCACTTTATCGACGTCTTCTTTTTTAACAATAAATATTTCTATATTTCGTATCATAAAATAAAGGAGTATTGTTGAAAAACAAATTAACAAATAACAAAAGAAAATAAACTTATATATTAAACCAAATAGGTAATAAAACAATAAAAAAAAACCAATAACATATAAAATACAAATCGAATGAAGAATATTGCTCAAAGTTTGAATTGTATATAAAATTATCTAGAAGTTAGAACTATTATACAATAATAACATGGAATCCTAAGATTACAAAACTTTAAACATAATCATCATTTCCACTCAAAAGAATTCATTTGTTTGGTCACTGAATGAAAATGAATAGAAATGAGTACATTTATAAAAATTGTCACACATCAATTTTGACATAAATATTTAAATATAACACAGAATAAAAATATAAAATCTACCATATTTTATACTTGTATAAGTTAAAACTAAATGTTACCAAATAAAAATATGTTTGAAACACGAATATTATATTATTTTACGTATTTACATGATAACGAATATGAATGTATATCTATGTGTGCGGGTGTGTAGTCACTATACACTTTAGTGTAGATTTTAAACCTACTTGGTTTGTACATTGCCTAATGAAGTTAACAACTTAGGTTTAATGTATTGTTATGCATTAATAATTACACCATTGCTGACTGTCATTGCATAATAGAGATATTCAATAAATTTCTAAATATTCGACTGTGATTGTCCGTGTTATATCCATGTACTCCATAGGAAGAGTGATGGAGACTAAGTTTCGGGCAAATTAACGGAAACCGTAAAGTGGAGTCATGACTCGAATACATAAATTTTGCAAATAACGGTTAGATCGAGCATCGTCAATAAATAATAAGTACGTTGTAAGTTGTATCACATTTCACATACAAATATACACACAATGGACCTTTACCTTTACCTTTACCACGATAATATACGATAGTGACAATATGACAAAAATATGAAATACTTTATAGTCGCGTATATTATATACACATAACTATGTACTTTACTGAGGTTTAATTATGTCCGTGTTCATTGGACGTTTGGCGCTTTCGTACATAATATTATATTATTTAGGTAAGCTCAAGTGCCTGGGCACCTAATATAATATAAGTATATATTATTATGTAAAAGGCGCCTTCTGCAAAATCTGAAGATTCTCACACTAGTAGGTATATTTCCTCGTGTGATTGCATGTTGTTGTTTTTTATTGTATTAATAACGCTGAAAATAAATTATTATTGAAAACAGATTATCACGTTTACTAGTTTTATACAAATAATATTACAGATTCTAAATGTCATTTTATTTTTTTTTTTTGAAATGCCCATAATTTAATCTATTATTATAATTGTAACTGTATTGTGCAAAAAACAAGTTTAAAAAAAAAGTTTTAAAATGGTGTACTATCATTTATCGGTAAGATTCCACAATATAATGTTCATCAGACAAAACATTCAGTATTATTAAAATGCTACTCATATTTTTGTTCACACCTCTACATTTTACATATTTATTTGTTAATAACGCCCCGAGGAACACTAATTGTACCAACAACTATCTACAAAATGTTATAATATAAATAATATGTAACATATAAATGAATCTTTAAGTATGATTTAATAAACACAAAAACACACCAAATAAAAATTGAACATAATTGAGAATGGGAGTAAATTATAAATTATAGTTCTAACAGTTGAAATAGTTTAAGTATAATACCAAAAAACTACCAATATGAAAATCATAATATTTTATCAGTTTACAGGAAGACAACATTCTTCCCGAACGTATAACAATAAGATGCATAAATAGATACATTTTGGTGATGGCAAACTATAATATATGTAGAAAATAGATTTATTTTGGGTATAAAAAAAAATAGGTACATTGAAATTTATTTTATAGAGTACGTCCGGACAATCTTCATTATAGTCGAGCAATTTACGAATAATATATTAACTATGGACTATACGAAATTATTAAATAATCGATGTTTATCTAGAATTCTAGACCATTGGCCATAAAAAGTGCAAATGCCAGAACAGTTTAATTATTTGTATGTGCCATAAATCTTAAAAAATCGTCTTATAGTATTTTAAATTCTATTAAATATGTTTATAATTATTTAAGTGATGCACAGTGCTTTAAATTCAAAAAAAGCTGGCTAAAACTGGCTAATTCCAAAATTTTTCTTGCTTATTCCGCCAATACTATAGAACCAAAAAAGTTACATAAAAATGTATTCTTTGAAATATTTAATATTGAATTTGTAATACAAAACATTTTGTGACCCGTTATTAGTTTGTTGACATAACTTTTCAAATTTGGAATTATTATCTACAATTGTAATACAAATGGTAGTTCATATTAAGGATCGTAAATACCTTCCATTAACCATTATAGAGAAGCGTACTTACTTAATCGTGTCAATAAGATTATGTAACAATTAGTTAAATTTAATACTCTCCTTCCATTTACAAACCAAATCAAAATATACATTCTACGAGAATTTCTATTGATACTTCGTTAATTCGAACTTTTCGAAGTCGCGCATTTTAATTTAAAATTTTCGGTTACTAATTTTGAACAATATACTTTCAAATCGCCAATTTTTAAATTCATATTAATTAATTATTACTATACTTAATTTGAACAGTTGTGTAGTATTACATTTTTTAATAAATATGTGTTTATTTAAGAAAACAATACTTAATATTATTGTGCCTATCGTAAATATATAAAATTAATCATTAAAAAAAAAAAATTAACAAAGTTCAATAATATAATAATATGACATCACTTAAAATGTCTTAAATGAATTAATGAAAATCAATAAAAAAAATAGAATATATTTTAGTTTCAGCTAGCTTCTATCGATTTCGGAACACTGTGTCGACACGGTTTATCAATAGAACCATAATAATTACTCATACGCGGTGTTCGGCATGCATGTTCTTCGATATACCAAATAGTAAAAACAAAATAAATCAAGACGTGAGCAATAGTCCTATAACTCCTATATCTACTCTCGGGACTTAAACGGATTACTCGGTTTTACAACAAATCAAATTTA